TTTTCGAGCTATATCTCGACCATTAATAACCCAAAATTTACTACGAACCTGATGCAATAGTGCTTGAGTACCAAGATGTAATATTTAACATGGTAATACTGAAAAATTAATCTAGTAAATACATGATCTTTTGGCATACATAAGGAACTTTTGGTTGTAATTAAGATTGCTATTGGCAAGTCTGCCTCCTACTCTCAGAAGAGAATCATTATCTAAGAAATGGACATAAAAATTTTAACTTACTTTTGGAAGAAACACAATTCTTATTTTTAAAGATAGAATATCCTTGCTAAAATGTTGTAACTGTACATACCTGATCATGATTTTCTCAGCGTCATCCAATTCTTTAACAGTTAGAGAACCTATTAAATTTTTTCCCTTACAATTAGCTATAAATCTACAAACAAAACTTAACACACGAATAATGCGAATATAGTTATTACTAATGTTAAGAATATGATCTAAAACAAGAGAATTAGAGTTCACATTTAGATTAACTAAGTCATTATCCTTAAGTTTGAGTTCTTTGACGGATTCCATATTATCCATATCAGATGAAATTAATTCACAAGGATTAGTCAAAAACCTCTCCTTAGTCAAGAAAGTTGGTCCACACCACCATAAATCATTATGAAGAAGATCTTTAGGTTCAGCTCCACGTGATATCAAATCAGCTGGATTATTGTGAGTGCTAACATGGTACCACTCATGAACCACAGTCATGCTTCGAATAACAGATACTCTAGTAGCAACAAATGTCTTTAGTTGATAAGGTTCCTTCTTAATCCATGCTAACACTATTGACGAATCAGTGAAGTAATACACCTTCACTATAGGCAGCTGAATGGCCTCTAGTATTCTTTTCATTAGTTTTACCAACAGAACTGCACCACAAAGTTCCAAACGAGGAATGGTATTTGACTTCAGAGGTGACACACGAGACTTGCTGCACAGAAGTCTTGACGAACATTCATTTGAAGATGACATACATTTCACATAAATTGCAGCACCGTAGGCTTTCTGACTAGCATCACAGAATCCTATAATTTCTATTTGCTGTAATCCATTGGTTAGAACAAATCTAGGGATGCGATAATCGTTGACTATTTTTAGACTATGCAGAAATTTCTTCCATTCTTCAAAGTAATTTTTAGGAAGAGGTGTATTCCAATTTAATTTTAGAAGCCAAAGTTTTGTAGAAATATTTTAGCTTTTGTCGTAACAGGTCCAATAAACCTAACGGATCAAAGAGGCGACCTATCGTTGATAAGAAATCTCTTTTCGTGCCTGTTTCTTCAAAGTCAAGTATCTTTAAATCATAAGAAAAACAGTCTGTAGACGACGTACTCCATGACATTCCTAAAGGCCTTTGTAATCTGAGCCTTATCCGTAACTTGAAAGGAGTAATCCTGAGTAGCACTTTCTTTATTATTCAATAGTTCTGGATTATTTGAACACCATTTGTGTAACTACATTCCACCACGTTCTAGAAAACAGGTTAACTGTGTCTGCAACTCCTTGGCTTCTTGCAGCGTATTAGCTCCAGTGAGGATGTCGTCCACGTAACAGTCCTTCAGTATGGCTCTTGAGGCATGAGGAAAGTCTGTCGCTTCATCCATTGCTAACTGCTTCAGGACCCTTGTTGCAAGGAATGGTGCACTTGCTGTTCCGTATGTTACAGTCCTTAGACGGTAAATCTGCACAGGACTACGAACTGATTCCTTCCACAAGATCAACTGCAGGTTTCGTTGAGATGGTTCAATAAGTATTTGTCTGTACATCTTCTGAACATCAGCTCCTAATGCATAGTTGTACCTTCGAAATCTAATAATAATAGAAAATAAATCTTCTTGAGGTATTCGCCCTTTCATTAATATTGAGTTCAGTGACGTTCCATTGCTAGTAGCCGCGTATGCATTAAACACAACGCGAAGCTTGGTAGAGGCTTTCTCTGGCCGATAAACTCCATGATGACTAAGATAATTGCAAGTTGATGTTTCAATTTCTCGAACTTCTTCCATGTGATTTAGATCCTTATATTCTTTGATAAAATTCTTATATAATGTTTTCATATTCGAATCACTTTCTAGTCGATTCCACACTTAATGCAATCTTTTCTCAGCCAGAATTTTCGATTCTCCTAATTCTATACCTTCTCTTATGGGTAACTGAACTACATATCTTCCATCATTTTGTCTATAGTGAGTACGCTTGAAATGTTCTTCACAGTATTTTTCTTCTTCACTCTCAAAGCATCCTTCGATATTCTCAATGGAATTCAACTTCCCAAAATCTTTGCAAAATTTCTTCAACTCTTTCTTCACTACTTAGAACTAAACCACAATAATTTATTTCTGAGTTACCTCTTGCATACAGCAGAACGCGATATATCCAAAAACCTGTTTCTTGGAATATCAACCGGTTGATTTTTCTAATTGAAATTTTCCTTCGTTTTAAAATCTCAAAGAAGAATTGCGGCCCCTAGTAACATATCTATTTTGTTAGGTGTTCCAAATTGCGGATCCGCTAATTCAATATCAATGGGAATATTTAATGACTGCACATCTAAACACCTTGATAGAGTTACATTGGTTATTTAAAATAACCAAGCAATTAACTGATCTTGCATATGTTAAATCCTTATTCGAAATCTGTACATCTAGTTGATAATTAATATTTATAACGTTCTCATTAATTCCGGATACAGATGCAAAAATTCTTTCTTTCTTTATATTTAACAAATTAGCAACTCCTTCACACAGGAAACAACTCATGCTGCCGTTATCAAGTATTGCTCGAACTGGGATTCTTTTTCCTTCGGAATTGCAAATATATATTATTGCAGTCGCCAATAACACGTTTTTCTGCGTGTCAAAAGACAAGTTGATTGATTTTTATTAGAGACATCTGCGTTCTTGTTTTTAATTTAGTCACTCGTTGCTTCCGTTTTTGTTTTTTCTAACTTTTGTTGAATGGCGCCATTTCTGAGCAGGCGATGTATTAATGAATGGTGTTTTTTATGGCATTCCGAACATCTGAACTTAGAATTGCATTTTGCGATTAAATGTTAGTTAATGAGACAGTTTAGAGGTTTTAACTATTTCATATCTTTGATTTGGATTTAATTTTAAAAATGAATCACATTTATGCAGTGGATAATTATTATTTTTACATATAACACAAATCGAAACACTATCGGTTTTAACCATCAGAGCCTTTGATTTCGAATTTTTTTCTAACGGATATTTCATTTTATTAGCATTACGGTTAATGTTATCCAATAACTGACATCTTTTCTCTAAAAACGAAATTAATTCATCAAACGTAGAAACTTCCGTAGCATTAATGCTTAGTTCAAATTGGTTGCGCGTTTCGAAATCTAGTTTCTGAAGTACGATATTTAATAATAGAATGTCGGATAAATTTATTTTTCTCATATTTTAAAACATTCAAAGCCCTAACGTTTTTAGTAACATTATCTATTACATATTTTATTCCTTTAGACGATTCGAATGTTAAAGTACGTAAATCCATTATTGACTTTATATGCGTCTCAATTAATATTCTTTTATTTTCATACCTACCTTGAAGAGCTTTAAATAGAGAACTAAAAGTATCATCAACAGTTTCAAGATTTTTTGCTTCATCAATTAATGCAGCCTTTAAATAGTAGAGTTTCTGAACTTCTGTCAGTTGAGTGTTATTCGCTATGATGTTTTCGAATTGAAGCTTAAAATTATTCCATTCGGTATATTTACCAGAAAACTTAGGAATTGGTAATTCTGGCAAACGTATTTGTACTTTAGAATCAAATTTATTACAATCATTTTCATTATCAGAATGTTCGATAGATGATAGAATTTCCATAATTCTTAATCCATAATTCCATAATTAATACATGAAATTGATTAAAAAAATCTGCACCTAATACGCCTTTGCTTACCTCTAGAACTTTGCTCTTTCTTCCATTTCGGCGATTTCTTCATCGATGTCTGTGACATCTTTTTCATCAACGCTTTCGAAATATCTAATCCTCAAGTTTCTAATATCCATTTGAATGCTTTGTAGCGATCTATACTTCATTTGAATTTCGTTCTTATTCGAACTATCATCATATTCCTTCACTACATTTTCTAACCTAGTTAGTTTCGCTTTTAACGAAGTTTTTTATTTCTATCTAATGCCAGCATGTTGTTCATTTCTCCGGTTCTGCTGACCATGTAGTATGATTCTAAACTAAAGAAGTGGACTGTATAGCAAAAGAACTAACTAATTTATTTACCAGTAATTAACTAATTATAAATTCAGATCCTTAATACATGCTCTGGCATGTTGCTTAGCCGAATCCAGATGGCCAAAGTGAGAGTTTCTCTACTTATCCAATAGGTGGCGCTGTATTCTAACTTAACAGACATTATATCACTTGAGACTTTAAGTTGAGTAATGCCATGCATTAACTGTTTCTTTTTTATATCAATTAATACATGAAATTGATTAAAAAAATCTGCACCTAATACGCCTTTGCTTACCTTGGCAACGATGAACGGCCATTGGAATGGGCGTCTCAGTCCTAAATCTACAGTAAGTACCTATATACCAAAAGTCGGTATTTCTGTTCCATTAGCAGCATATAATTTGTAGTCACACGATCCCTTTGTTGTAGAAAATGATGGCAGCAATGATACATTTGCTCCACTGTCCACTAAGAACTTTAGTCCTGAATTTCTATCCATTACAAATAACCAGAACTTACGGCTATTCATGTGTTTAGCAGCAGAGCTAGCCGCTGAATCTACTGCTGGCTGGAGTTTTCTGTCTGTTTCCAGCTGCAAGGTGGAGTACACTTTTCCGGAAAACACTTTTTCCCAAATTTAAAGTGGAAATAGCAGTTTCCCTTTTGGATTATACCGTTTCTGAGGAGATCTGCTGCGACTCCTGGGATGGTTGGGACTACGAGTTTGTCATCTGGAACGTTGCACACTGAGGGAAGCTATTTGCGGCTACAAAGCAGATATTTTAGTGAGAAGTTCGTTAACTGGAGAGGCATCATTGCATGCACTTGCAAATTCCATGCATGGACCCATTTCAGCAATTTTATCAGCCACTCTGGCTAATTTTTCAAGACTCTCATAACTGACTATAAGGATATTTTTGACTGCGTCAGGCAACTTTTCCATCCAGAGAGTACGTAACACTTTATCAGACACATCGTTATTATCACGAAGCGTTCTCATCTTTCTCAGCAGTTGGCTTGGCTTCATATCACCAAGTTCTAAACCAGTCAATAAGCTTTTGATACGCTTATTTTCACTCTCTTTAAATACGTTCGTTAGCCTTTCTTTTGCTGCTGAATATTTAGTTGCAATTTCATCTTTGATAATGTCCCATATATTTTCTACAAACTTAGGATCCAGCTGAGCCACTAAGTATTTAAATTTAGTTCCTTCTGATGTAATTCCTGCAATTTTAAATTGGGCTTCAACAGTATAGAACCATATCTTTGGTCTATCAATCCAGAATGGGGGAATCTTTACACTCACTTTGCTTGTCTCTAGCTGCACATCACTGTTATTAATACTTGTAACAGGCATTTTTGTGCTTCACTTTCTAATATCCAAAAAAACATTCATAACACTCAAAAGGAAATCAATAATCACAAAATACTGGTTCTGAAAAGTTGAGCACATTGTCTAGAAACACTAAAATAGCAGAAAGTCTCTTCTACACTGGTAATTATGTCGATGCATTGAGATTATGCACATTGCAGTGTCCTGCACACCAGGGTCACCAAATGTCCCTGTTATGAATGTCCTGGCGATATCAACTGTCAATATCCGGAGATGAATTACCTAATTGTTTAATCAATATTAATAATAATTCTGATAAAGTAAAATAAATCAGCAAAAATAATGCAAGAGTTTATTTACACATACTCCATACGTACTGTCAACACATGGATCATCTCGGAGACAGACAGACTCTCTCTTCAATTCGAAGTAACAGTTGTATTACAGTTAAAAACACAAGAATTAAAAATCAGGAACTTAAGGCAATTAAATTAACAGTTAGAAAAATTACAAAAAACACTTCACAAGTTAGTTTGCACAATTTACAGTGAACCAGCATTTGTCCTTTCCAATAAATCACTATTTTATAATGTATCATTATTTTTCTACCAATTCATACTAGCAGGCAAGCCATTTTCGAAACTGCTTCCTGCATAGTGCAGCCATCTGGTGGTGAGATAATGAATTGAACATTGTTCTAACAGTTTCTAGGATCTTCTGTCATTGCTAGTTCTTTTTTCTGTGCGGTTATTGTGGTTTGTGTCGATATTAATCTGAATGATTTTGTTGCGGATGCATAAGATTTATTAGGTCTTGGCTGATTAGAGAGAACAAGTCTTTTGGCTTCTGCAAATGATATCTTTTGTGTAACTTTAATGTTTTGAATTTCTGTCTGCCATTATTGATATTGAAATCAATAATGTAATATATTGGATTCTGTATATGAGGCCTGACTGAACAGTTTAAGTATCCAGCTTTGATGTTTTTAAGCAGGTTAGGAGACTTGAAAGTAAGTATGACATGTTTAGTGGGAATGAGTCGACCATCTTTCCATATTTTGATCCTATGAGCACCACACGTTTTGATCTGCCAACTCCTTAACGGATTCCTCTTCAGTTATTATTAGTAAGTCTATTTCAGAGATTACTCCTCGGGATGAGTTCAGAGTGTTATGTGGCTTAACTTCAACGTTTGCTTGTCCTAATTTAGTTAGTTTCAAGACTATTAGACTGCTTTCCAGACACAGTTTCTATCAAAAGGTCTCCAAACCGAAGTCTCTTAATATTTTTCAGATCCCCTACAGAAGACAAAAGATGTTAGTTTATTAGAAAGGGTGACATTTTTTTTTTTTTTCCAATTCTTCACAGCTGGTTATAATTAAGAAATGTGGACAATACATCTGATACAGTGCTTTTTATGTCGCTTCTTAGTCTTTTGGTAACAATCGGATTATTGGGTATATTGTTGGAGCAGGAAGGTATCATAGCATTCATATTTAAATGGAAAAATTTGGGTCCGACCGTCCCACCCACCATGGAGCCCATTAAGGGGACGTAGATTACTACGCCAGGGCTAGCCGGACTTATAGCAAACTGAAGTCCCACAATCGGCTTTCCCAAAAGTAGGTTCTCCCAAGAGCTTGTCCCCACGCCACTGGACACAAGGACTAGTGACCAGCCGGTTGACACCTGTGAGGAATGACAAGATGCCTCCCGTTTAACTGAAGCAGAGGTCAAAGCAGTGTGTTGGGGACAGTACCTCACTCCTCAATTACCAGGCTCTCCTTTCCAGTGACACGGGTCTCCATGGACGGCAAACACGTGAGCAGTTTTCTTGCCACTCGAAGAACTAGGGACAAGGCTGTTCCAGTTTCTTATGACGAGCCCAAACGTCAGAAGAGGAAACCACAAGGGAGAAGGAAACCGAGAAAAGTTGCAGTTAAGAGGAGAGGCAGAAAGGAGAAGAGATCACTGGGGCTCCAAGATTGTGACACCCGATCATCAAGACAGTAATCCCATGAAGGATCTTCACCTACTATGCTTTAGCTGGTGATGTTGGAACGGCCTTCATGCCTAGGGTGGCCATACCAGAAGCTATGCTCTCGACGTACTTCGTACATTCCACCTAGAGACACCCCCCCCCTTGATTACAAAAAAATTTAATCTACAGATATCCATATTGTTTTTTGTATTCGATTTTCATACCTTTGAAAGATTCCTATAGTAGTATAAAATAACATTAAGTGTGTAAGAAATTGGATAGGATAAAAACATTTCTTCATTGAGAAGAATTTGACCATATTATTATTACAATTCTGTTTTTAATCCAAAATTATCAAATATGACACCAGCTAAAATATACATAGAAGTTTATATGTTAAACATAACTGTATCGAGTTATACAGAATAAGCTAATAGAATCCTAAAGACTTTAAGACATAAAAAAATATGCAAACAATTCAATAGAAACTGAAAATTTTATTATAAAACTTCAACAGAGGACATGGATATGTACATATATAAGTAACAGAACAACCTTATCAAAAATTAGCTTATCTCTAAAATATAAGTGCAATTAAGAAACTAAGACATTTTGTCCATCAACAGATGTGCATAATTTTCACACATCCATATCATTTTTAAATGAAATTAGTTTCTTAAGAGCATTTCATATCAAAATACTTTTCTAATCAAGATAAATTATGGTATCTTACATCTCTGCAACAATCCATAATAACATACTGGATGGCATATTAACATTATGCACAATGAAGTAAGAAAACTTTGCAAAACTCATTTATTCAAAATTTCACAACTTCTTTATAATCATGTATAAAAAAATAAACAAACGAAAATACAACTCATTATATAATTCTTTTCTCATATAATATTATAAAGCTCTGCATTAAAATCACATTCATTTTTCAAACCCGTAGTACAAAAGACAAATACAGTGCTTATGAACAATATATAACAAAATTAGATGTTGATTCACCCATACAAAATACAGAAAACAACACAAAACAAACATTTCTCATTTTTTCTTTTTCCATTTAAATGATTAAGTAAATGTGTGAAAACATTCAAAAAGAAAAGCAGATTACATGATAATCATTAAGTGGTTTCACATATATCATTTAATAAATTTATTTTTCATGTTAAAAAGACAAGAGTCTTAGAAAAGTAACAATAATCAATTACAGTAGAATTATCCAAACTCTGTACACCTAAAACTCCAATCACAGTAAACTGATGGTTTGTATACTACACACTTTTTCAAATTATTAATCTGATTTCAAAAAAATTATTTTAATGCCACTCCCATTTACAAAGGTTTGTATATTCGACAGTCCATTGTATTAGAACTTTTCCTTTTAAGGTATACAAAATTAAATATTATTAATATATTCATGTGCCCTTAAATTTAATTGAATAAGGGACCTTTTTATTACTATTATAAATTTAATACAAATCTTAATTCTTATCAGCAAAAATAATTTCTTTGATTAATTTTAGTCAAGTAAAAACAGGTTATGCATTTTGTTTCATGAAAAAAGATCTTCAGTTTCCTTTTACTACATCAAAAATAAAAACAAAATCATGTGATTTGTTTTGTGGGCACTAATATCAGACTTAGTTTCATTACTTTATTTTAATAGAAACAGGACCTGGCTGTATGATTATGCAAATAAAAAAATTAAGTTCATTGTATCATTTTAGTGAAAAAATATGTTTTTGTATTTTATTATACAGAAATAAAAATATTTAATTTTTTTAAACTATATATAATCTTCTGTTAAAATAAAATTCTCTCATTAGTATTACAGTAAATATGTCTTTGGCTTGCAGAAAAAAATACAATATAACAACTTATTTCTGGATAGAATAAAGTGCCAGTTAAATCCAGATACATGGAATTTCTCTGTACATAGGAAAAGATACTGAAATACTATAATTGTATTAGGAAAACATATTAACATAAAAAAAATGTAGGCTAAGATCTCAAATAACTTATGCAAGACATTAGAAAATCACATCAAAATTCAAAAGAATTTTGCTTGTATGAATGATCTTGTACCAGTTTCTAGATTACTATATGAAGTATAAAATAAATAAATTACTATATATTGTCAAGTGTAATTATTTGCTTTGTGTTGTAATACATAACAAAAATTTAAATATACCAGGGAAAAATGCTTTATATAGTGATGATAATTAAATTTTTGTTTGCATACTTTGAGGTTTCATGTATTTTTTTAAGGCACAAAACAACACTCCCCTCCCATACTGAAATAGAATTTTTTAAAAAAGTGTGAAAGAAAAAGCTAATAGTGAAATGAGCTAGTAAAAACTTTATCTAGTTTTATATTTTGTTCCAAATATTAATTTGTATACCAATAATGACTCTTAGTGTAATACTTTGCAAACTGAATAAAGAATGAATTTATTCCAATTCTATTTAATAAAAATTAAAAATATTTCTAACTACTAAATTTAATGTGAAGAAGTAAATTGAGCATTGAAATTTTTTTTTGACCAAAAGTGCTTGTTACAATTAAATTAAAAAGTGAATAATGAAAACATTAAAAAAAGTATATGGAATATACTTTTTTTAATGTTTTCATTATTCACTCTTTTCATATAACTCATATTTTCATAATATGAGTTATATGGAAGTTCTTAGTTTTACATTAAATTTCTCCTCAAATGGCCTATCTTTACAGACCTAAATTCGACACCTGAAAAATGGTTTGTTAGTTTAAAAAAAATATGCAGTTTTAAAATTTAATCAAAGGAAAACATATTTCTGAATTTTCCAGATGCCCTGCATATAATGTAAATGCAGTGAAATGAGAATAACCTTATAACTTGGAAGTGAAAGTACACAAACAAGTAGATGATTATGAAGTAAGTTCTAACCATGGTGTGTGCTGATACATCTTCAAATAGAATAAACATTTTCTTATTGTTAATCAAAAATTACTGAAGTGCATTAGTGAGCTGATATCATGTTCCTTTTTAAATAGAAGCAATCCACGATGGAAAATGTTCAGCTGGTTACTAAATTTTACTCAATATATCCATAAAAAAAAAGCAATGAGACATTTGAAATTAAGACTATGTTGACTGCTTTGATACCCACCCTTATATTCTGAGTAATCAGAATATAAATAAGTTAATGTTAACTTGATGACTTAATGAAACTGCATGAACATGTGAGAAGGAAATAACCAGAATATCATGAAGGAACAATTGCTAATGTTTTAGCTGTGAAGCAATTTAAGCTAACTGCATCTACCATATTAGCCAGACCTAGCTTCTGGTGACTTACACCGCTTCTCAAACACTAAAACAATGGACAAAGGAATGCATGTCTTGTTCAAAGATCTGTGAAACTAAAACAAGGACATATAAGTCATTCTCAGGAGCATTTCTGGAAATTATATGTAAAATTGTTTTTAACATGGACTGTACTGTAACACTGGCAACTGTTAGTGTGTCAAGTAAGTAAGAAACTGTTTTGATGTAGATTAGTTATTTTCTTGACCTGACAAATAAAACAAAACACATGCACAGCCTGTTTTTCTCTTTATATCATACTTCATAAATTTAAAACTTTTCCAGAATTTTTTTTAAAAGGAAGGGCTTCTAGATAACAATCAATTCCAAAAATTATAATCACACTTAATTTTCTCACAAGCTGATTATCCTGTGACTATTACTATTGTAAATTTTCGCAAAACATATAACAAAACTTTTATTGGATTCTCAGTTTCTTCAGCTTATTTCTTTTTTTCAGACCACATAACAAGTTTTAATTTCTGATCTTAGAACATATTTAATTCAAGAGTTATCAAATATCTCATTAATAGTAAGACATGTTAATAATACATTAATAACAAGTGCAGCATCTGCTCAAGATTATGACGATAAACTTTATTCCAAAATATTCAAACTTTTGAGAACTTCTTTTGGATCAACATGATCAGCCAAAGTCTCCTGTTTATGACAGAGTAATACTTTCTCACCACCTATAAATAATAATAACAATAACAAACTTTATTTTTTTAAAAAAGAGAATCAGAGATTAAATAATATAAATACTTTATGAAAAATAAACATTTTATATATTATTTTTAGAAATATTTACTTGCCTTTAGAGACAACCAGAGTACCACCAACTTGATAATAATCACCTTTTAGATCTCCTCCTAGATTTTCAGCTTTTGCCTATGAAAATTCAAAAAATTATTTAAAGAGAATAAGATGAAGTAAATAGAACCCATATAATTTTTAAAAATGGGAAATAATAACAAAAATGAATAATGCCTATTATCCAACCTCAAATATAATAATTTATACATACAAAATGACATGCAAACATTTTACATATTTTTAAATTTCATTTCATTGAACGTGCTAATCTTCATATTTTAAATATTTTTTAAACACATTTAAGTAATAACCATGTTTCACTCATATTTTAAAAAATTCTCTTATTACCAGTAGAATATGAAAAATTTAATAAATATACATAAAATACAAATCTGATGAAATGAAACAATTATTATTATTCTAGTTGTGTTGCTTTGGCTCCTAATTCAGTGAACTGTGACTTCTAGACAAGGTTTCTGGAGATTCACTGCACAAACTTTGAGAGGAAGTAGAAGAAAAAGCTATGAAATATATTAAGGTAAGAAAGAAGAACTGGGAGCTGCCAGGTGGCATTGAATGCTAGCACTCCAGATCAGCACCTGGGATTTTCTCTTTAAACTTTGCAATGCTGTATGAAGAACAATGTTTTGAACATTTTTTGAATTTTTGACTTCCTTTTGATATGAACTTTATTATCAAGAGATATCCCCACTGCAGCTAATAGCTGCAAAACTCTTGGTATATGGTTGGTAGCCTAAGCGGCTTCCATGTCCGGTATGTAATCCATGCAACCTGTTAGAATTTTGAATGCCTATTTTGAAACCACATTCATAACAGTAAGCAACATTTGCACCTGCCTTTAACAGTGTGTGTGTGGTGGTGGGGGGAGAGAACTGTAATCTGATTATTATATCAGATATAACTTAAAACATTTAAAAGAGAATTTTTGCTTAAAGGGGGAAAAAAATATTGATTTACAAATCATTAGTCTTGATTTTTCAGAGAATGAAGTTAAGCATAACAGAACACTTTCTAATTACTGAATAAAATGGCATATGTCATAAAAAAATTCCAGTACAAGGAAAACAAAATTAAAAGGCACCAGAACACATCTAAATGAATAAAAAAAACTACACTGTGCAGATCTTACGTTTTATTATCTGGCAATATCTTTCTAGGAGGATAAAATAACCATAAACAAGTGAAATGACAAAAATTTCCCAGCTTATTAATTTTTTGTGAAAGCAAAACAATAAAACCTACTTTCAGCTATTAAAGACAACAGAGAAAACTCTCTTTGAAAAAATGTAAATCATAATAATAACTTTAATCTACTAACGCATTTCATTAGCACATAACCCATCTTAAAATGATGTTTAATAACAGCAGTTTTTCATAAAGTAAAAAATATGAACTTACTTTTGCTACTGCATCACGAGATGTTTTGGAAAATAAAGCAGGAATCATGTTCAATATCCCATACCTTTAATAATATAATGGAAATGTTAGAACACAGACTTTGAAATTTAAGATTAATTCAAAATTTCAATTATCTTCTTACTGCTTAAATAAAACAGAACATTAAATGATTGTAAGTCATTCTTCCAGGAACTAAAATGTATATTGCCTACACTTGCACACACACATACAAAGTTATTCTACAATCCACTCAGAAAGAACAGAGATCAAAAGCAAACAAAAAGATTTCATATATTTTTGCATTTTTATTTCATGTAATAATTCTCCTTATATTTTTTTTTATAGTTACTTTGGTACTATTCTGTTATCAGGACTGGACTCAGAAATGTATGTACACTGCAGGGGGAATTTTAAAAAGTGGGGGAAAGCTCTATATCTCCCGTTCTACTGGGCTGGTTGACGAAATTGAAATTGCGTTATTCATGTCTCGAAAGTGCAACTTAGGATATATATTAGATTTATATATAGCACTATTCTAACATAGGTATTTTGACACAAAATTGGACTTTTTCTGAAATAACATACCAATGTTTTTCCATATTTCAATTCTATGACTCAAATTATGCCAGACTGCCAAGTTTTGTAAAAAGTCGAATGAGAAGTTTTAAAACAATTAGCTTTCAAAATTTTAGCTCCTCAATGTTAATTGAATTTGGCATATATTTATTAATATCTCCTTTTCTGATTCTTCCTTTCCAGGGTTCATACACATTTCCTTACATGAAAATTAAGGACTTTTAAGGACCATCAAAGAAAAAATTAAGGACCTATCAGCAAACAAAATAACGAACAGAATAAAGCAATTATCCATACAACCGACTTCATGCTTGTAATTTCACTTTAAGAAACTAACAGAAGTGTGTATTATTGCACTATTATTAAATTTCATACTTTCAAATACTTACCATAAAACAATTTTGAAAATTAAACTAACTCCCTACAAGTTATGAAGTAGATAACATTAAATTCGGAACATAATTTCTTTAAAAACATGTATAAGTGTATTTTACACTAATAACGGTCACTATTTTAGAGATTTACATGATTATTATTTAACTTACTTAATATTTATTTAAACACAGTCAACTACTATTATAATCACAATGTAAGAATATTTTGCAGATTAAAATAACTGATTGTGAAATGTCCTTCTTGCGGCATTTATCATTCATTAACTGTTCAGCAATGAATCCCAAATAAACTTTACTTTTATCATTATAACAATTTGGATCATTAAAATTAAATTTATACAGATTTTCTGCTTTACTTATTTTTGAATATTCTAGTTTCAAAATTTTAAAGTGCTGAAGGCAATCATTTACAAGTTTTAAGATATCTTCAGCAAAAAAGGGAATAAGTGGTTTATCACTTTGATAATATTCAAGGAAAGGAAATAATATTTTCAACAGAGAGAGAGAAAAAAATTAAATTTTATAAGAAATGTTTTATCTTTAGTTGCCTTCAAAATATTTGAGAAGGATTTTTGATGAATTTTTTTTAAACTTCCCCATTTCAACTTCTTTAATGTACAGTGGCAAGTCATCCCATATTTCAATGGCTCTTTCAACTAACTGCTGGGACATTTTGCAACCATCGGTAAAAGCAGAACTTCACAGGTAGCTTTTTTAAGCCAGATATACTTAAAAAAGCTTCACGTCTTGCAGGAGAATCTTTAAAAATCCAATATAAGGAGGATAAGAATGATGGAATGTCTCAGCCAGTGGATGACATCCTATGCTTGAAAGCATTGTTAAGAATGTGTAAACGACATGTCCCTAATGTCAAGCATTGAATGTTATATTCCTTTGTCAAGTCCTGTTGCAATAAATCATAGAATTTCCAGTTTACTGAAGGACCATCCATCGATATTTGTAAGAGTTTTGACAAGTCTAGTTTTTCAACACATTCATAAAATTTGGATAAAATAATTTCATTTGTTGCATGCCCTATAAATGCAGAAGTAAGGTACTGAGTTCTGACCTTATTTTCATTTTACACCTTATTACACCTTATTGACCTTATTTTCATTTTCATTTACATTTCTGACCTTATTTTCGTGATGCCAGTACCTCACATAAATATCTAGTTGCTTCTTTTGATTTGTCAGATTAAGAGTCTCATCAAATAGTAATGTAAAAAACTCAGCATTTTTACAATGCTTTAGTAAAAAAGTTTTAAAATAAGGGACAAGACCAAAATAACAGATATAAGCACATTCCTTTTCACCACATGAAAACTATTTTGCAATGGAACTATCCGGGAACATTTTAGTGAATAACGGCCCAATATCATCTCACGACTTAAAAGAATAGTGGCTTTTGATGCACTTTTAAAAGCCCACAATATTTCTGCATCTGTACCTTAAGATTTGAAAAGAAAAGAATTGATTTTATTATTTTCTACACTTACTGATGTTGAATTAGCAGTTACATCTTTTCCTGAAGTAGATGGTTCTTCTAACTTCATGATACTGACAAAATTCATGATACTGTTAGAAGAAACTCTGCAGTTGTGAAGGGAAAGATGTTTTGCAGCTAAAAGGGGCATTACATGCAAGGCATTAGTAAAATTAAGTATCGCATATATATGTATATAATGTATATATATATATATATACAGAACAAATTCCGAGATCCGGACATCCAATATCTGGAATGATCTAAAATCCGGACCTCAAAGCCACCACCAACCAATTTTTTAGGGCTTTTTTGGAGGGAAGGGGTATGCTTTACGCATGCGCATTAGATTTTTTTTCCCTCATCATAAAAAAACATGCCGGAAATCCCGATTCTTAATCTCAGTTTGGCGCTAAATAAAATATCTCATTATTGAAGAAATAATTATTTTAGCATAAATTTGTGTGATTAGTAACTTGACTCCATAGCTGCGTATCTGCTTGGCATAATCTCATACCGAAACATTTGTTAATTTTACAGCAACTAATATTTTATATCCTTGATGCCGAAATCGCGAATCATTATTTATTGTATTTTGCTTTCATCACCGCATGTTTATCAACGGATGACAACTTGAGTGATGACTCATGCAGCAACGCCAAATAACAGAGTATTATCCGATTACAGATTTAAGTTTAATGCGGTAAAATGTTGACAAGGGGAGATTTAACAGAAATTTCTTTCCTTATGCTAAAAATAGATTTTGTTAATGATACTCATAGGACAAACGATTATATTTAGTGCTATTTGAATTAAGAATAACTGATTTGTTATTCACATAAAGCCAGAACCAGCGCCAGAGCTCGCATGGCCGCATCAGGCGGCAGAATTTAGGGAAGTTAAACAGAAGTTTTTCATTGCGATGACAATGCCCCAATCATCAATCAATTAACGGAGGGCGAAATTTGTAGTATAGTTCTAAATCCAGAAAATACAGCTACCGATAGTGAAGAAAGTAACAGAGAGGTTAATGAACGAGAAAAAATTTTGATTGACAAGTTATTCGGTATTCTCGACACAGCAATTACAGGACTTGAACAATGGCACTTAATAACTCAGCAAGAAATTATATATCTATAGTATTAGTCTAAAGTATCAGCAGAGAAAACAAATCAAACACCTCACATTGAAAGAAATGTTTAATAAAGTAAACATATAAATATTAAGCTTTTTTCTTTTGTAAATTTTGATACCCTTTAAATCATAAATGCTTCATTATTTCATTAATCACGATTTCATATTTTCAATTTTATAATTTCTATGTGCCATCTTACTAGATTTAAAATGATCTAATATCCGTAAAAATCTCAAATCTGGGATCGCCGAAGTTCCGACCTTGGACTTTGTACTGTATAAATATATATAATACGGAATGTATATTTTCAGTTAAACTTCTACCCAATAACTTTAGTAATTCATGAAAGTTAATTTTGCGTCTAGTTAATTCAGGAAAATTAGTTTCAATTAGTTGTTTTCAGCTTTAAAAATATTAAAAGTTTTTTAATTAGTTAGTTGTTTTCAACTAATATTTTTATTTTTTTTTTATCGTTTGCAACGCAAATCCGCCAACAGATTGGTTAAGAGCCGTGCAATTTTAATTCCATATTCACGAGAAATCGCAATTCACACAAAGAATGGCAATCATTAGAAATGATAAGAAATGTCAAATGAGCAAAATTAAGGACTGTTTATTAATTTTGGCCAAAATTAAGGACCAAAAATCATTTTTGAAAAAATTAAGGACTTTTAAGGACCGTACGAACCTTGCTTTCTCATTACAAAATTTAAGTTCATTTCAAATAAAATTCACCTATTTTTTATGACTTATTTTTTAAATAACTTTTACAAATTTTTTGAAAACAATTTTGAACTATAACCTATAAAATATTTACCATCATCTTATACCTGCAAAAAATTAGTTTCTTATTCAAATTTTCTAAGATATAGACGAATTTACATATTTTTGCATCTTTTTTTTTGAGCGATAATAATGCCAAATGTGGTTTATGGATTTTGTTACAGTGAATTGCCACAGCTACTTTTAACCTTAAATTTCAAATAAATTTTTAACGGAGAATTAATTATATAAAATGCTATTTTTTTAAAATTACAGATGATATTATTCAAATTTTTACCTTTTTTTTTAAAAAAATTTCTTTCTTTCTTCCTTTAAAAAAAAAAAAAAAAAAAAAAAAAAAAAAAAATTGCAAGAGTAAATTTTTACCTCTGCTACTTTACTTTAACTTCATTAAAACTGAATGGACTAAAACTGAGAATGTTTGTTTGATGTTTATTTTCACAATGTTTTTAAGCAAACAGGACGTTGACAGTTTGGGTCATATCTCAGCTTTAGAAAATACATATATAAATATAAATTTTTACATTAATTCTCTTAGAATGTTTTAAGTAGTAATTTTCTCTTGTGTAGTTTATATAAACGCATGTTCTTTAACCCTTTGTTGCTCAGTGTTCCACTACATGGAACACCCAAATTGAATCGCTTCTGAAACCGTTAAATTCAACTGTAAATGGGTAAAAATGCCTTTAT